CAAAATTTTTTTCGTCAAACTCAAGAAACTAGTATTTTCATATGGAAAAGGGTGTCATTTTTTTATTGAAAAATAGGGGTTGATACATTAGTGGGGTGAAGAATTCTAATTCAATACCAAGGATGTGAACTAATATTATTACACGTTTTACGCCACTGAATAGTCCTAGGGTATTTTCAAGTAATGAAAAAATAATACTTGAGATTGAGTTTTAGGGATGAATTCATTTGTAAGGGCTGATTTCAGAAAATTTCAAACTACATCAACTACTTAACAATTTTAATAGTATCCAAGAGATTTACACCATGATATCGTAATGGAATAATGAAATATAATAGTATAAATGTTAGGGGTAGCTCACCCCCTCAAGGGATTTTTTTTTTGAAAATGCCGGAACAGGTCAACTTTATTTTTGATTATTGTGCATAAAACAATTAATTTTGTCAAGATTTAACAGATTTTGGAATGTGTATAGTGAAAAAAATGGTCATCAAATATAGTTTTTCATTAATAAAAAACGGGGGTTACGAGTCTGATGACTAAAAACAATGCATAAATATGTGCTTTTCAATAACAAGTGTTACCCACTTTGTTTCAGTAAAAAATTACGAATTGTATTCGAGAAATTAAAAAAAATTTGTTTTTAGGGGTGAACTTCAAGGGTGGGTTTCACCCCTTAAATGGGCTTATGGGCACGTATAAAAAAATACGCGTCGAATATTTTTTGATGTTCTACAACATATCACAATTTCAAGAAAATCGGTGAGGTACACCTCGGGTACCTCCCTTGTAAGTCGAAACTCAGCAGAAAGAACGAATAAGTAATTACTTCAACCTCTCCAAAAAAAAAAAGGATTTTAAGGAATAATTAAATTAGGATTAAAGAGATAATTAAAATTTTAAATATAAATTTATTTACTATTTATACATTTACATATTATGCTAGATTAATTTTTAAATTCAAAATTCGAGCCTTCTCGGTGGTAAATAAACAACTCCTTTTTTTCCATAGTCTCGAATAATTTTTTCAGCATATCTTCATCTTTTTCTAACGCTAAGCTTACTCGCTTAGGTAGAAAAATTTCGAATTCGTCGTCTACTGTTATAACAACACTGAAACCATAACGAGTATTAAGCCATCTTAATTTCGTTATCATGTAGGTGCAGTTATTTTCTAATTGTGCCATTGTTTTTCTTGGTAAGAATGCCGATTTGGCTATTTTATTAATTGATGAAAAGTCCATTCTACAATATAAAAAATCAATCAATAATTAATACTACTAGGATATATAGTTAGAGAGCTACTAGTATACAAGAAACTTACTTTTAAAAGAAAATCTAGAAGTCTAACAGGAGAACTAGGAAGAGAGACTACTGCTGTTGCTTCAACCTACTGCTGAATAACTGCGACGGATGAGGTGTGTTCTCCGTTTTGTACCATGCGTTCCCTCTCTGAGAGCGTAATTTCCCTCTCTTTTCGCCTTATCCCCACTTAAGTAATTTCTCATATGATTCCATTGCCCATACTCCTTCAGTCGCCATGTTTGCCGTTGTCCCCCACTCTACCGTTGTCCCCACTCTCTCACTATTCTATTCTTAGTCTTATCCTAACTAAGCCTTCTTCCTCCCCACTATTACTACTCTGTTCTGAGCGACTTCTGTCGGAGGTTGGAAGAAGCTTACAACTTTCTTGAGGATTTTCTTCCATACTACTCTGTTCTGAGCGACTTCTGTCGAAGGTTGGAGGAAGCTTACAACTTTCTTGAGGATTTTCTTCCATTTCTATGATCTTTCTTTTCCTGCGTTGTTCCGCACTCACGATTTTAAGCTTTGACTTTTCAATAGTTTTCTAATGACCCCATGGAAGTGTATCAGGATTTTTATCGAATATACATCGTTTATCATCATATGGACTTAGTGCTACTTTCTGCACTCTTTCTGTTCTTACTTGATGCAATACACTTTGTACATTACATTGCTCACGCCTAATAATTTCTCAATCCAATAAACAGTTTCGAAAATCTTCATGACCTATTGTTTTTATGACAGTATGTGTTTTTACGCCTTTTGCTTTCTTTATTGCTTGATGGTTTTCTATTAGTATACTATACATTTTAGTTCGAAGTTCAATAAATTCTCTCATAATATTACCATTGCATTCATCTTTCATAATACCGAGAACCTTTTTATTAACTAACGGCATATTAAACTGATTATTTTCTGAGTAATCTGATGTATCAAATTTATTGATATCTTCTTTCATTATTTCATATATATCAACACCTTGAAATTCATATACAAGGCTATCTGTATCAGTATAAAGTAATTTTGCTTTATGAGGTAGTCTTTCTTTTATGTAGCCATAGTGGAAGTCATATACTAATGTTTTTGAGAGATCTAGCACACAAAGTCCAATATATATTGGTTTTTTAATACTAATAGACGTCCATGATAACTGTATTACTACTAAATTTTCATCAAAGATTGAACTATTATGAAAGTTGGGTTGTGCGATCCGTGCTTCTGCTCCATATCCACCACTCCATGCACTAATTAATTTAACGTCTTTTCGTTTCCTTTCATCCTCCATAGTCTTTCCGTATACTGCATTAATTATGAGTTTATAGAATAACTTTTCAAATTCATTTTTAGCTTGTTTTCTTTTTTCTGTATTCAAATCTACATAAGTTTTAAGCCACGGCTTTTGATTAAACTGAAGTGCTCTGTGTATTTGTTTTATTTTGAGTCCGTATTTAATAGCCTGCTTTAGCGCTCTATAATGAATAACATACCGTTCTTTATTATACAGTGTTGTTAAAAGTTTTTTTTGTTTTGATCCAGGTGGTGTGTTGTGTTCAGGACAAAGTGGAAGGTCCTTATGTTCGTCGTGTAGTTCTTTTGGATACTCTAGATCAACTTCTAAAATATATCCAACCTCATTATTATCGGAAACATTGAAAAAATGAGGCTCATCGATGTTAGAGACCCACTTAAAATTTTTATATGGTAATGATTGCGTCATCGCCCATCCATATAAATTATTAACGTCAAAGTACATCAAAGTCTTGCTAGGTTCTTTTTCATTATATTCTGAGCCTATATATCGATTATTAGGTTTTGAGTATCTATTACAGCATTGACTAATACCTCCTCGAATGCCTTTTTGGATGAATAAAACCATCTCTATATCGGTTAAAAGTTCTAGCTCAATTTTTGTACACTTTAACATAGCATCCCATGTTAATCCAGGAGTAGTATAATAGTGTGCTGGGTCGAGTTGATACGCGTCCATACAAGTTTTACGAAAATTTTCAAAAATATCGGCCAAGATTAATACGTCAGTTTTTAGATATAAATCAGAATACTGTCCTAAATCAATGATGTCAAATGCATTCCACACTTTTTGAGCATGCTCATAGTCAGCTTCAGAGATGTTGCTATCTATCAATTGACTATGAAAATCTTCGATAGGTGGTAATTGAGTCTGTTTTAATCTTTCAAAACTGTTAACATACTCATATGGAAAAACGCCTTTTCTCTTCAATAATTCTATTTGTGTTTTTGTATATTTATCTATCTTGAATTCATGCTCTACGATATTTAGTTTGGTTAAGTATGAAGACAGTTTTTTGAGAGATGATGGCATAAAACGAAACGAATCAATAAATCGAAAATTTATGGTACTACCGTCCACGTGTTTTGTGAAAGCTATATATCTTTCCTTGTTTTCAGCTAAAACAGTCACATTTCCCTCAAGATCAGAGCTAGTAGCTATTTCTTTTATTATAAAATGAGAATCATATCCAGTAAGATTATGGAAGACGACTGGTATAAAATAAGGATTCTTATCATTTAAATTACAGGATGCGTGAGCAGCACTTCTAAATCGGCCCGTCAAATGACAATGATCTTTCACTCTTGTTTCATCAGGTTGAAAATATTTTCTACAAATATGACACATTTTGCTCATCTTGAAATCCATTTGATTACGCCATGAAAGATTCATTTCTATGGCATTCTTATATATTTGATTCATTTCATCTAACAAAATCTGAAATTGTTTGATAATCCATTGTGCGGGTGATTGTTCTTCATTCATTTTTTTTCTATACATCTTAAAGACTGATTTGGAATCATCATAACTACATTTTATATAAAGCCCTACACTAAAAGCTTCATGATCTTGGAAGGATCGTCCGTTATTTACTGGTTTCAATAAGCACTCTAAATCAGCATAGATAATAAACGGAACCATTTCTTTTCGATCATAATGATTAAATTTCAGAAGAGGAAAATTAGGTAGATTAACTCTATATTTATTTAATTTTGAACAATCTGTCTCATGAATATTCAATTTTTCTTTATTATTAAAATAGTGGAGACAGCGTTCACAGAGATAAATTTGTGTAGTATGTTTCGTTACTTGACTTCTAACAAGAGCAGATAAGTTTTTAATCCATACATAGTGGAATTTTAATTTGAAATTATCATTGTTATTTGATCTATTAAATTTTTCTGTTTCATTCTCATCGATATAATCGCTTTGTAGTTACAAAAGATTTACATGCTTATCTTGTTTAAAAGTTGATATATAATATGGTGAGACTTCGAATTTAAAACCGTATTTTTTTAGTATATATAGATTTATTGAAATACTATTTAATTTTTCAAATTTAGGAATATTCTTTACCTCAACAGGAAAGTTTATATCATCGAATTTCAATTCATTCGCAAAGGGCATATAATTTTGAACTCTTTCGCTATGAAATCTAGCTGGATGAAGACAGACAAGCACAGCCCATTTTTTTTTTTTTTTTTTAATTATGCTTTATTAACTAATATAAGTTATTTAGCTACAAAATGAATATTTTACATATTAGTAAACTTATTCTAAATATTATAAAGAACAAATTTTTTTTTTATAAATACAGTGTTTGCTTATAACTAACGTGTAGATTGATAAGATATTCAATTATTTTTTTAGTAATGCATACGCAGTTCTATGGTTTGATCCCAGACTTTTGGAGATAGTTAAGTATATATCGCATTACGGTGACATTGGGTTTATATAAAAAGGTTTTAATATCAAATGGCGGAAACAAATTGAGTTTGGATAGAGAGCGCAGTAGTAATATTCTTGTATCATCAAATAGTGGACATTGCCAAACTATGTGATTAAGATCTTGAGTATCTGCGCCGCATTCGCATTTAGGATCACTAATAACATTGATTTGAAATAGGGATTCGTTGAGGCTAATATGATTGCTTCGGCACCTGCATACAGAGGTTATAAACTCTCTTTCGTATCCTTTGTTACTGTACCAAGAAGTGTTCGAATCATCATAGTAATTTTTAAAATAATCTACTCCTTTGGTCAGCCCTTGGTTTTTTATCAGTTTATTTGTTGAATTTACGGCTGTTTTCTTAAATAACGCACGGTAATCAGTGTGGGGTATTTGTATGATCGTCGGTAGGAGTTCAGTTGCTTTTTTCGCTGCTTTATCAGCCATTTCGGTACCAATGATTCCTCTGTGTGCAGGTACCCAAACAACAGTCAACGTTGTGCTATTATTACCCTTAGAGAATTTATCATTTTTCTGTAAAATTTCATAAATATAATGATTGCTTTTTACGGTATTTTTTGGGTTACTTAAAGCTAATATGGCGCCCAGCGAGTCCGAGAAAATCTTAACATTGCGCTCCTTGTTATGTATGGCAATGTCCATGGCACGACTTATCGCAATACATTCTGCAGTATAAATAGATGACACTTTGTAAATACTTTCAGTAATTACAAGATTTAGCTCGGGACATACGCATGCACTACCTACAGAACGACCAGCGTCAGTTTTGCTCGCGTCTGTGTAAATCTTAAGGCTATCATCGTTGGCATAGTACTCTTCAAAAAAGAGGTTTGGTTTATCTTTATTCTGGAATATTACCCCTATTTCAATATTAACGGATATTGGCTTATACAAAATTTTATATTCGTAGCTATACATGGGAGGTAGTGTACTTTTGTAAATTAGATGCTCGATACTGAGTGTGGTTTTTATACTTTCTTTTAAAATGTTCACTTTTTTCCTTTTATCCATTATAATATCAGTGGCACAAGTTTGAATTACTTTATGAGCAATCGACCTCTCATTGCTTAGCACTTTCAGTAGAAAATTTTTGCAGAGAATTTTCGTTCGGTAGAAAATAGTGATCATTTTGGCTTCACTGAGCAATACATTGGTAGGGGTGCTGTTTCTTAAACCCAAAGCCAGTCTAATAGCTGAGAATTGTACTCTTTCTATTTTTTCTTTTTTAGCTTTTTGAATGGGGAAGTAAATGTAGCTGCCGTAATCAATAATCGCTCTTACGTAACTTTTGTAAAAAGTTAGTAGGGTCGATGGATGAGCACCCCACTTAATACCTCTAAGGAATTTGATGATGTTCATTGCCCTGTTTGTTTTTTCTATCACGTATTTAATATGTTTGTCGAAGGTTAATTGGAAATCAAAAAAAATGCCTAAGAATTTAACTGCCTCGCATGACGAAATTAATTGATCACCTACTAGAATTTCGGACTCGCCTGGATAGACGTTGTTTTTGTTATAATGGACGAATGTAGTTTTATCTGGGGAGACTTCGAGTCCAAGTTTAATCAGGTCGTTGACTAGTTCTTCGATCGCTTTTTGAAGAATGGTTCTGTCCGACTCGGGATCGTTCGTTTTCAAGTAGAGTACTATGTCGTCAGCAAACTGTAGTATTTTCACTTGGGCATTCAAGTTTTTAGCTATTCCCGTAACATAAATAAGGTATAGTAGGGGGCTCAGGACTCCTCCTTGTGGGACCCCTTGGTATATTCTTTTGGGTATATCTTGGTTTGTTTCAGTATATATAAATCTTTCGTTGATTAAAAATTGAATAAATTTCTGTATTTTAGTTGAGACACCGGATTCTGAAAGTTTGTCTAGCAAAATATCGCTTTGCACGTTGTTGAAAAAGCCATTTAAAACATTCATTATCTGTATTTTGAACGTTGATTATTGCTTTTTTATCTGCTATTTGTTTTGGTAGTTGAATATATGATCCAGGTTTGAAAGGATTAAATTTATTTATATTAACAGTAATACCGATGATAGTTTTTAATGTCCAACCGGAATCTTTTTCTTGAAATTCTTCTAAATTTTTAAGTATAACATCTTCAATATTTTCTGTAAACCATAATTTAAGATCTGTCGTTCTATAAATAGAAACATTTTCGTTGTTGAAATAATTTACTTGAATGTCCTCTATATTATCTTTTATTACGGTAAATTGAGCTGACATTTCTATATTTATTTTTAGAGTATTATGAATTGAAAGATATTTTGGTATTTGTAGTTGTAATAATTTATTTGCTGCTTTTAAGAATGACTTTATATCTCTATGTTCTTGATTGGCTATGAATGCAGTAATGATACGTTTTTCAAATGCTGAATTTATTTCACGCCAAATAACTCCGTCCCCTTCAATTTGGTTTAGAATGACTCGTAATGAATTAACATTTCCTCCGACTTTTATGGAATTATTTAAATTAATTTCGATTGAATTCAAAAGAGTAGCGCATGTTTGACATCTCTGTCGTATTGCTCTACTTAAGTTAGGCCGTAACATATATTCTTCAAGAGAATGCAAAGCGGTAATTATTATATTTTTCCATCTAATAAAGTCATCCTTATTAGCGTCTGAGTTGTAATAGGCTTTCCATAAATCGCGTACTGTATTTTCAAAATAAGAAATAGAAGCCATTGTAATGAAAATGCACGTAGGATAACTAGTAATACTACTACTACTACTAGTACTACTACTACTACTACTACTGCTTGTCACTGCTAAGAAAGCTAGTGAAGCGGGCTGTCTCGAAAGACTGCGCTCTTTTCCAATCGAGCACCGCTTTTAAGCACTATGGTGGCGCTGAAAGCAGCGGTTTCGGCACTGTAGGTTGAAGAGGGAGTAGTCAGACGAAAGGTAGGAGGTGGGTGGGTGGGTGGGTTATGGCTGCGCCTAGCAAGCTAGAGACGCTACCCCCTCTCCGAGGGTCCACACTCAGCCAGCATAAGCGCCCTACTATCGAAGGAGAGCGAGAGAGAGAGGGATAGAGAAAGAGAGAGAGAGAGAGAGAGAGAGAGAGAGAAAGTGAAAACAGCATCCGCACTATACGGCGTACGCGCCTAGCAAGCTAGAGACGCTACCCCCTCTCCGAGGGTCCACACTCAGCCAGCATAAGCATATAGTTTACCAAACACCCTACCGACTTCTACAGCATCCTACCTTAACAACCTCTGTGGGTGAGTGGGTGGGTGAAGCGCCCTACTATCGAAGGAGAGCGAGGGGGGGGGGCACTGGCCCCCCCCTGAAGGTGTCCACTGGCACGCGGGAGGTGTCGAACGAACATCAAATGCAACACTCAGCATGGGGTCTCACCTTATCGCGATTAAAAGGTGTCACTATCGCGACACCTTCATCGGACGGCCTCTTTGTGTCCCAGAACATACACATATCCCTTAAACATTGGCGGCGCGCGCGAGGTGTCAAACCAACTTCAAATACTCTTTAACACTCTGCATGGGTCCCACTGGCACGCAGAAGGTGTCAAAGGTACATTAAATGCCTTTTAGACACTCACCATGGGGTCTGACCATAAATTAAAAGGTGTCACTACCTTCACACCTTCATCAGGCGGCTCCTTTATGTCCCAGAACATACACGTATCCTTATACATTGGCGGCATCCTTTGTCGGCTCCTTTGTGTCCCAGAACATACATTGCTTATCTACTACTTGAACTGATTTTTTATTAAAAATAGAATTTAATATTAAATGCAAAATAGTAAATTAAAAGAGAAAAAAAAGTATACAAACATGTTTGAAAATTAATAGGCACTTTATTAAAAAAAAAAAGAAAAAACTATTCTACGCAAAATAAGCATGAACACGTTTGGCAATACTTTGATGACATATCAGACAATCATGAATTCTTGATGCACATTCGATGCATACAGCAAAGTCCACAAGGTTAAATAAATACAGCAATCCTAGCATCCAAACATATCTTACATCCAGCAATTTCAAGTTGACGCAAAATATTGATTATATCTCGCTGCGACTGTTCAACCCTTTGGCTAATTTTATTCATTTTTTCATTCTGTTTATCAATACTCCTCTTATGATCGCGTAAAAGTTCTTCAAAAACAGATATAATCCTGATGGCTGCATTCGATTCACTTTCTAAAGCACATTTCTCCGTCAAATGTAAGTCAGAAAAAAATTTTGTAATAAGACGCTTCATCAATGATAACGCTGACTCGTCTGTACATGCATGTGGGTTAGCAGTAGGTATGCTACTCGAGCTTATACCGTTCACAATCATCTCTACTTCTTCGATGACGTACTGGTACGGCGCTCGATCCGATCGGCATATTGCCGCAACTTCTGTTGTGAATAAAAAGGTAGTGGCCAACCCAGCGCTGATGCTCCGTCACAGGATCGTCACCTTCTTCCCAACCACTAACTTCCAGACCATTAAAAACAGCGCACTCGATAAATCTGACCCGTATAGTAAAAGCCGGCTGCAGCAAGTTCTGCTGGTTGTACGTGTGCACATGTCCATTGAGATGTCCAGCCTCGCTTGCTCAAATCGGCACAAATCAAAATTACAGAAATCAATTAAAAAAATATATAAATAATAAAATATTCTCTATAAACAATAAAAAAAATAATTACCTGCAGTCTATCTTGTTAACGCTCATTGTAGAATCCTTGTATAATCTTTTTCTTTCTTTTACATGTTACACGCTCCATGCGAATGCGACTAATAATGAGATGTAGATTATTTTTATAGTGGATGACTGCGATTTTCCTCTCCATTAAAAAAATTCCATACATACCTTACATTCTATACTTTCCATACATTCCATACATTCATATATTTTATTCATTCCATACATTCATATATTCTATATATTCCATACATTCTATTGAAAAATTACAACCCTTGCATACCTTATGTTCTATGGGGACCACTAGCTTCCAACTTTCTTAATCGTCGGTGATTTCGGACCCCTGTTTTTCCTATAGGTATGTATAGATGTTTACTCCTATTACTTTCCAAGTTGGATAGTCACTTGGGTCACTAATGATTTTCTCTCACTGGTCCAGGTACCAGACGTCTGTGGTCTTTTGTGCCCATCCTAGGGCGCTTACCATCGGTTTCGTATCCGCTCTGAATCCAAATAATTCCTCTCCGCCTTAGAGAGGGTACGGCTAGCGAACTCCACCATGCGCTCCTTACCATCGACTATCTGAGTCAAGACCACATCGAAGCCCGCATCGCTGGCGTTCGTATGTAAGATGAACTTATTCCTTGGATCCGGCAGCTGTAACATATGGGCAGTCGTCATCAACCTTTTAATTCGAGCGAATTTTTATTGCTTTTTTATTTTTATTTTTATTTTATTGCTTATTTTATTTTGATTGCTCTTTGCTTGAAACGTACAGCTCCTTCTTTCTCATCAGCCATGTGAGTGGCTTCATGATGGTGGCGAAGTCGTCGATAAACCGACGATACCCTGAGACCATGCCCACGAAGCTGCACAGCTTGCATAGATTCTTCGGAACATGGAACTCCGGATTGAAGCGAATACCGTCTCTGTTTACCATGACGCCCAAGTAGTGTACCTCCGACCTACAGATGACGCTTTTGTCTCGGTTCACCGTCATCCTCGCTTCCTTGAGTCGCTTAAGAACTAACATGAGAGGCTTGTTATGCTCATCAAACATCTCTGAGACACGTTGAATGTCATTAAGGTAAGCGAACGCAAACGGATTCATTCCAGATCAGTGACGGAGTCGATCGCCCGCTGGAAGATGGCTTTAGCATAAGATACATTTAGCCCGAACGTCATCCTCACAAACTAAAAATGTCCCATTCCCGGAATCATAAGGCTGTCGTCGGGTGACACTTCTTCTCTAGGCTCTTGTCTAGAACTCAAATCGAGCACAGAGATGAACTTTGCATTCCGGAGGCAGCGCAGGATGTCTTGCATAAAAGGTATGGGGTAGGGGCATCCCGATCAGTGAGGGCATTAGCCTCTCTAAAATAGATACAGAACCTTCAAGAGCCATCCCCTTTTTTAACCATGACCCGTAGGCATCCACTCTTGGTTGACTCTATAATGCCTGCCTCCAACTACTCCCTTACCTGTCGATGCATCTCCTGCTCCATCTTCGGAGACGCGGGGCAGTATATCTACTTAACGGGTCGGGCACTTTCCACTTTTATCTCGTGTTCAACATCTACTACTGCCTTTAGATACCGGCCTGGCTTTGGCAAAATTCCATTGACTAGCTCACCTATCTCTCGTCGTTAGGCCTCCGTCGCATCTGCGATTTCTATCAGAGCCAACTGCAAAATCCCTTAGAGGCTGGCCATTACCATTGGGACGGTTATATTGTCGTTCTTCGATTGGGTGCGGCTGGAATTCCTTCTAGCGGCTCTCCTGATCGTTTCCTGATTCCGTAATTATCTTGCAGCTAGGACAGTCCTTGACGCTGAATCCTAACATGCCACACTTTGAGCAGGCGAGGGGTCTGGAGAAGTCTATCCTTGGACCCTTCGCTTTGGCTTTCTACTCGGCCAAGCCTCCGGAGCTTCTTGGAGGCTCCTGTGATAAGCGAGGAGCCGAAGCTAATTTCCGTTCGAGGACCTCACCGATCAGCCGCTCTAGCTCTCGCATCGCTTCCGACGGATGTGGTCTCTCTGAGAAAGCCGCTATCTCCGGTACTGCCGGGGTGTCATCCTCTTCGGACGCCTTATCCTCCACCGCCGAGACTCTTGGCTTCCGTGGGGATGCAGGAGCCCCAGCCGACAATGGCTGATACGTTCATTCTGGGAATAGGGCGTTCTTGGGTCCCAGCATATTCCTCTTTTGATGTGCATAGACAATATCGTTCTATGCCTCAGATGCCAACCTACATAGTTC